AAACCTTGTTTTTTCCCTTGAACCTGCCTAGCCGCAGCTCCGTGGTCCTGCAGCAGGGAACGCCCATAGCAGGGCCAGGGCAGCTTAGGAATTTCAGCCCCTGGTGCTGTCAAGCCATGTTGATGGATTGATGGAATGGGGGTGCTATGGGCACTTCAACCTATGTGCCAACTTCACCGTGTCCTTGAGCCAACCGTCTGTAACCAGTGACAGCCTGGCCACTAAACCTTAGCAGTGTCTTTGGGGGACAGTCCTACTTAGGTTTGGACTTCGTAGCCTAACTGCAGCAGGGATGGTATTAGTGTAAACAGGCTAGCGTAGCTGCTACGATGTACATCTCCCATCGAAGAGTGCACCCTTCTGTGACCAGGGTGGAGAACAGGGAGCTTAGCGCAGTGTGGTAACCAAGAAACTGTGTCCTGTCTCCCCACAGCTCTGGGGGCCAGAGTACAATGGTCAGCATCAGCACAGTCAGATCTTGAAGAGGGTTCCTTCCTGGTTAATAGAGGTTAAGGTCTTGCTGGGTCTTCATGTAGCAGACAGCACGAGTGAGCTTTTTGTGTTTCACACATGAATTCCAAGGAACCAGGGACCCTTTCTGTGCCCTCATGTCAGTGAAATGCCTTCCTCTGAAGGATGATCTCGCATACATCTCCTAGGAGGATGAAATATGGGGTGATAGACTGAGCTCATTCAGCAGGCTACCTGGCTCACAAAGCTTCCACCAAGACAGCTCACCTCTTTCTCTTAATGTATTGTCAGAGTAGCAACAGTCCAAATAAACACCTTAGAGGGGAGAGTTGGAGATGCTCCCTGAGGGTCCTGTCTGGGTGGTTGGTCAGAGTGGATAAGGCAGGTCCATCTAGGCCATTCTCAGGAATGGGAGGTCCAGGAGGAATGGGAGATACAGGAGGATACCCAGGTGCTGCCTAGGTAGAATAGCACACACACCTGTGTGCTCTCGTTGCTTTCACATTACAAATACACTTTCTTGTTCTGCAGCCGCTATCCTCCAGGCATGTCAGGATAACGCAGTTCCTGCCCTTGTACCATGCCTGGTTTCTTTCTTTTATTTATTTATTTTTTTATGTGTGTTTTTGCTTGGATATACACCTGCATACCACGTGAGTATAGTGCCTGCAGAAGTCAGGAAAGGACATCAGAGGCCCTGGAATTGGAGTTACATTTGAGGTTTTGGGTTACTGTGTGGGTGCTGAGATCCTGGGTCCTTTGGGAGAGCATCCAGTGCTTTTAACCCTGCCCTCTCCTTCAGTCTTGAAGTTGTGGGTTTTTTTCTTGAATTGTAGGAACACCTCTCCTTCCAGAATGTGGATATTAACCTCTTATTAGATGTGTGATTTACAAATGTTTTCTTCTGTAGAGTATTTTATTTTATTTTTGTTGTTATTTTTAATTGTTGGTAATATTTTTTGATTGTTGGCCTGGAACTTGCTGTGTAGACCAGATGGCTGCAAATTCATAGAGAAGCCTCTGCCTCTGTCTTAGTGTACGAAACTTTTAAATTTTGGTGGAGTCTGGTTATCTCCTTTTTTCATTTTGTTGTCTATAATGTCACATTTAAGAAACCATTGCCAAGTAAAATATATGAGTGCACACACCTGTGACCCCAGTACTTTGGAAGCTAAGCCAGAGGATTGCAAGTTCAAGATCAGCCTGGGAAATGCAGTGAGAACCTCTTGCAGTTCAAAAATGAAATGAAAGCTGGGATGTAGCTCAGTGGGAGTGTCTGCCTCGAGTCTTCAGCCCTGGGCTGAATCCCCAGTGTCATAAAAAGTAAGAAGGCTGCCGTGGTTTGTCGTTCTGCAGTGAAGGGAGTTCTCTTGTTTGTTGAGACGTGGTCTCACTCTGTAGCCTAGGCTGGCGTTGAATGCTCTTACAGCTCTTCTTCCCCGGCCTCCCGAGGATTGGGATCACAGTGTGAGCCACCAGGCTGGGCTCAGGCTTTTGTTCTGTTTATTTGAGACAGGTTTTGCTCTGTGACTGGGCTGGCCTCAGCTGTCAGCACTTCTGTTTCAGGCTCTGGAACTTGGCAGCCCTGCTCATCAGGCCTGGTGGACTTTAGGTTCCTATGCCACCTGCCTCTGGCTTTGATGTCAGTGTGGAAGCTGCTATGGAGTGTCCCTTTCCCTTGCCCTTTTGTGTATACGTGGAGTGTCTGTGTGTATCTATGTGCTGCATGAATGCCTGGTGCCTACAAGGCTAGAAGAGGACATAAGGCTGGGAGTGGCAGCACACCTTTAATCCCAGCAGAGGCAGAAGCAGGCAGCTGGTCTGCAGCTTAGTCCACATAGTGAGTTCCAAGCCAGCCAGAGTTATATTTAGAGTCTCAAAACAAAAGAGTGTATTGATTTCCCTACAGCTGGAGTTACAGGTGGTTGTGTGCCACCCAGTGTTGGCGCTGGGGACTTGAACCTAGGTCTTCTGTCAGAGCCGTAAGTGCTCTTAACTGCTGAGCCCCTCTTTACTCGTTTTTGAGCTGGGGTCTTGCTACATTGCTTAGCCTGGCTTTGAACTTCACAGTCAAGCAACCCTGCCTTAGCTTCATGAGTAGCTGGTACCACAGGTGCACCGTTGCCCTAGTTAAACTTAAAAATAGTTTTGAATTTACAGAAAAGTTGCAAGATAGAGCAGAGGCACCATGCCCTTGTCTCTAGCAGGCTGTGAGTCTTGGCTCTGTTTCATAGCATTGTGTACCCCTGCCTTGGCTTGGTTGTAACCCCGGGTCAAGCCCAGGATACCCACAGCATGAGCCCTGATGTCTGTTCCAGTGTGCTTCACCTGTTCCTAGGCTGGCTGGTGGATGAGCCCGTGCGGCTCTACCGTTCCTCAGCTGGGTCCTTGGCAAGGTGTAGTCACTTAGAGGGCTGCCGCCCTGTCCATCCAACCAGGGCTCCAGTTACTTTTGGCCTTCAGTGAGGTTGAGCTGGAAAAGATTACCCTTGGCTTCCGACTACCTTGCAAAGTTAGTGGTCTGGCTCTAGGGCCAAGTCTTCCTCCCCAGTGAATCCTGATAGGACACTGGACCCTAGGTCATCTGTTCCTGACGGCTCCACTTGTCATCTCCTCACAGGTGACAGTCTTGGCAGAACCGTTTCTGTAGGGTTTGTTTGTCCTGGTGCCCGAGGAGGAACATTTTCTGCCTGCAGTTTTCTCTTCATTGTATTCAGGCATCCCAGGCCCTACTTCTTGTGCAGTGTTTGTGAGAATCCCTTGGCCTCGTCTTCAGGATTCTCCATACCTTTTTTGCTGATGCCTTTTGGAACATGCTCTGCTTCAAGCAGAAAACCAGCAGAAGTGTGGTCTCAGCCACCTGCGAGCCCTGGTCCTTTATAGTGTCTAAAGGGTACTACTTGACAAGTTCCGATACCTATTGGCTGGTCCTGGAGTGCCGTCCTCGGAGGGGGCATGCTCACGCGGTATGAATAGACACCAAGAGGAGCAGTTAGCCAGGGAGTACCACTTGGCTCTAATTAGAGAAACCTCATCCTGACATCGTTTGGTAGCTGCAGGAGGCCTGTAAGGTACACAGCTGCACAACCTGGCCTGAGTAGTCGCCGTGTGACCTGGTGTCTGCCTGAGCTGGAAAATGGAGCCAGAATCGCTAGGGGCTTCTGAGGTGCATTTGTGTCCAACTTGAGGGAGTTGCCTGTCTGTGTGTGGAGGAGCAACAACTGTTCAGGCTTTCATTTTAGAAAGTCATTGACAAAGTCAACAGAAGCAGCAGTGGGGATAGAAGTCCACTGATAAGCTCAGGAATGCCCATTGTGCCAGGGCCTAGGGCCTCTGGGTCCAGATTGAGGACCTGGGGCTTCCCTATGCAAGCAGCCAGCCTCTTCTTCTGTGCCCTCTTTCCTACCAGGCCATGGCGTATGCCTCTGAGGATGGGGTCCTCACGGAGGCCATGATGGATGCTCGTGTCCAGGATGCTGTTCAGCAGCACCAGCAGAAGATGCAGTGGCTCACGATAGAGAGACCCAGCCCTGAGGCCAGCAAGTCACCGTGTCCCTGACTCCTCAGCTGCGAGCTGGACCTGGATGCCTTGTGCACCTGGCCGAGGACACTGTTCCCCCCTCTTTTCCTGTCCTCTTTGGCCTCTCAGAGAGGCCAGCACTGTCACGAATGCCTTTGCCCAGCTGTGGGACAGGTGGTATCAGCTTCTCTGCCTCCCACGCCTCCTAGTCTGTTTCTCTCAGCGTGAGTGCTGGTGGAGGAAGGCAGACCCAGGAATCTACGAGCCCAGGTCAGAGAAGAGAGGAAGCCGAGTGGGTACCACAGGCCAGTGGCCGATTGTGCCAGCAGGACGGGGACCTGCAGGGACCAGGCTGACGGCAGGAAGGGCCTCTGCTTGCTGGACATTGGCCCTGCCCTGTACACATCTGTGCCAGGAACTGGCCCAGTCCTCATTTGGTGAAGTGGATCTGGTGCTAGACTGGCCCTGGCCGGTGTTATCCGGGATTCAACGCTGCCACCTTCCCCTGGACTGGACCTTTTAAATCCAGACTCTAATAAAACTGTGACTGATTTGCTGTTTCTGTCTCTTGGCTGAGGTATGTGTATGGAGGTGTCTAGATGAAGGAGCTCTCAGTAGCCCCTGGAGTCAGGGGTGATGGAAGAAGCAGAGGCTGGAGCTTTCTGGAGAATTTACTGGCCAGGCAGGGTGGGCTTCACAGTGAGGGCTGGGACACCTGGGGCCACCGCGTCTTTATTGCTGCTGGGGGCCCGCCTTTCCAGTCCCACCCTCCAGTCCTCCAGTCCCACACGCCCCATGCACATGCTCCCGTGTGCAGATGGGCGCCGGCCCCTGACAACACCCCTCCCCTCCAGACGGACGGATGGACAACAGGTGCACAGGAAACAGTGGCTTTCAGTGAGATGTGGCCTTAGGCTAGCATGACCCAGGCCATGCCTGTCCCCATTGTGAACCCACCACCCCGGCTCCAGCACCTCTAAAAGCCTGCTTTTGTGTCCTGCTCACTGGAAACCAGGTTGCTGTCGCTGAAGCCCAGTGGCCATCCCGACCCCAGCCCCCACCCGACCCCCTTTATAAAAAGAAGAGACAGCACCTTCCACTGGATTTGCCTGCGGGCCACAGCCCAGCTGGCCACAGCCCAGCATACCCTGGGCCTGAGGCCGCAGTCCCGTCTCGCCAGCTGAGCGTCCACGAGGTCCCTTTACATGTGCACAGTAGCCCCAAGTCCCGTGCACTCACAGGTGCCGTGGGCTGGGGTGGCCGTTGTGGTAGACCTTCTGCTTCACGTGCACCATGTTCCCTGTGGGCTCCTCGAAGGGCCTGTGCGGCCGCCGGCCCAGCTCCCGCAGGCTGCACAGCTTGGGCAGCCAGGTCCACGAGCCATCTGCAGGGGGACAGGGCAGTCAGGTGGCCGGGCTGGGCCAGAAGTGGTGCCCGCAGCAGCGCGAGGCACTCACCATAGCGCCGACCAGCCCTCCAGGCGCGCACGGCACAGTGCAGGACGCCATCCATCCACACCAGGAACCAGCTGATGCAGAAGCCCAGAAGCAGCCCCAGCATAAGGTCGATCTCCTGCTTGGTCACATTGTCTGTCACAAAGTAGTTCTCAGATGCGTCCACGACCGACTGGTCCCCGTCGTACGGGATCACGTAGTGGATGTGGTGCCTGGGGGCGGCAGGGCGGGCTGGCACCTCTCCTGCCAACCCTGGCCCAGCCTTCCCCAGGTCCGTGCTGGGCTGGTTAGGGGACCCAAAGTGGATGGCTTGGCTCCTATGGGCCACCCTGGGAAGTTCTCTGAAGCAATCCCTGTGTGCTGGGTTGGGAGGGGAAACAGCACTCCCTCCCCACCTGGCAGAACAGGAGAGTAGGAACAGCTGGGGGGTCTGCTCCACCCAACAGGCCATCCTTCCAAAAGTCCTGTAGCAGGGTTCACATTTACCTACCAAGGTCCCAGCACAGCCCAGTAACCCAGGCCCTCCGGACATGCCTCTTGGCCCCCACAGGCTGCTCTCAGGAGACCACCTACAGGAACAGTGTTCTTGCTCTTCCACAATCTCTGCCTTGGGCTTCTGGCTTTCAGTATCTACCCCGCTGCTCATTTTTCTGGAGGCTCTGGGAGTCTTTCCTTCCTCACTCATGCCCATCACAGACCCACATGTCTATTGTCCACGTACTATTCTTATAATGGGCCGTTTTCAGCTCTTCAGGTCCATGCTGGTCAGGTTTTAGAGCCTTCTAAGTATAAGCACCCACTCTGGCCCTGGTCTCTCTGCCTCTTTGCTTCCTGTCCATTGTTTTCATGCCCTAGACCCTCCCAGCTTGCACCTGAGTTCCAGTATGGTTCCCCCTGGGGGCTGATCCCTCTTTCAGAGATGTCTGAACTTCCAAGAGGAAGTCCTTCTGTCCTGTCTGTTGTTTTAGGTGTCCAACCCCACAAAGCCAGCCGTCCAGATGTCGAGAGTACCATTGGGGTCTTCCTGACAGAGTAAGGGCTGCCCGGGCTTTTGCTATCAGGCTGCCTTTCCTGGCCCACCTACTTCCACAGCCACTAGTGGGTGGGCCTTCTTTCCACTGCCCACCATGTCTGCTAGGAGCTCCAGCTGCCTTCGAGTCTCCACGTGGGCTCTACAGACACCTCAAATGCATGCTGAAAATAGCTTCTGGCTTCCTAAACCTGCACCTCTTCCTCCTCTCAGTGAGAGGCTGGAACCTGTGTCTGTCTAGAGTAGACCCTCAGCCTTTCCCCAGATAAAAACTCTTTCCTTTCTTGTACCCATTTGCTGATGTCCCTGATGGATGCTTCCTCACAGTGGGGCTGATATCTTTAAACCCCAGCCCAGGTGAGCAGGGAGAGGAAGGGGCAGCAGTGACCCTCCTCAAGTCCTCTTCTGATCTTCTTAGGAACCCAGGGGCTAACTCTGCCGTCTATAGTTTGGCCAAGCCCCACGGGCAAAGCTTAGGCTGCCAGCCCTCAGCTGGTTTACTGGGGCTACTATGACTGACACCTGGCAGCCATCACTCATCTCATGCACAGCTCCTGTCCATCATCATGATGGATGCACGCTATTGATCCTGGCACAAAAGTATGGCTGCACCAGGCCCTAGGGGCAGAAGTGCTTCCAGACTACGGGGGAGGGGGAAGCTGTAACAGGCTCTGGTGGGGGCTGGGTCAGCCTGGGCCTCCACATCGTTCCTCTGAACTGCCCCCAACATGTAGCTGTTCCAGGAAAAGAAACATGAAGAAGCTACCAAGGAAGCAAGAAGAAACCTAGATAGCCTACAAGTAGGCCAAGGTGGGGTCCCAGACAACCCGGGGCCTCAGGAGTCCAGGGGTTAGAGGTTATGACCTGTGCCTTTACAGTTAGCGTGGGTATCTACAATTGCTCCTCCCGTGGCCTGACTCCTCCCGATCCCACACCAAGTCCCTGAAGGCAGGGGCATAGGTCTTCTGAATGAAAGCAGGAAGGATGTCTGTGATATGTACATACATGTGTCCTACCTTCATGACACATGCTGCCATGTGTCCACTCGAGGTCACTGCGTGTCCAGTATACACGCTGTCCGCATGCACAGGACATGGCGTGTATACTGCAGACATGGGCCCCACAAGCCCCACACCCATGCACTGTGCACACTTCGGGTATGAGCATGGTGCGTCACACACAGATGCACATTCACCCAGCTCTGAACCAGCCGCCCTGTCTCTGTGGGATGCTGTCATGTGCATGGATCTGTGTGTACACACAAAGGCTGCCTGCTGGCGTGCTTTGCTCAGAACATTAGTTTACATATATGTTCTCTGTCTAAAATTCTGCAGATAGTCATGTACAAGGCAGACACATGTGCACAGTTATTCTGCAAAGTATGTACACACAGGCAAACTGCTGACACCACGTGTGTACATGTATGTGCACAGATAACCCGTTTGCAAACTAATCTGCCGCCACTGCAGCCACGCTGAGATGTTCTGACATGTTCCCTGAGCACACTGAACTGTATATTGTTTTATATACATGTACTTTACATACACGTATATGTAATCAATATACAAAAGTGCTTTGTACAACGAATTTACATACCCTGTATGTAGAGTTGTGTACAAAGCACATACATGTAGAGAGACACACGCAGAAACACTGTCCACAGGAGGATGTGGCTCTCCACATTTTTGCACACACAGGCCTCTCTTCATGTTCCACTCTACAGGTGTCTGTTGACATGAGTCCACAAGTACTCTTGCTGCTACATGAGATGCACATATGTAACCTATGTAAATGTCCTCTAAGAACACACCCTCTGTGCTCAGGTAAACCATTCAGTGTGCTGTCGTGGACAGCGCTGAACCAAACACGCTGTCATAGCCCCCATATGTCGTGTCCATTCCCAGTGTTCATGGGTCCGGTGACTGGGCCCAGGATGTGGACTCTGTCTTGGGGAGGTTTCGGGACTCACCTACAGACATGCCCTGGGAACCTCATGTCTTTTCTGAGCCCTCTTGATATACCAAAGATAGAGGACAGGGCTTTCTGGGAATGTGTGGCCACACGGCAAACTTTCCTACCATGTCCAACGCATGTGAGTGCGTGTACGCGTATACATCCCTTTCTGCTTGCTGTAATGCCCGTGATCTGCCGCATACTGGCCTGTACCTGTAACCGTATAAGCTCTTAGGAGACATGCACCTGCCCTAGGCCCTGTGTATGCAGACTTCTGGAAGCGTGGGTCGGGGTGAGGAAGTGAGGTTCTGTGATTCTAGCCCCACTCTTTCCTAGTTGTGTAACCTTGGGCAAGTCTACCTCCAAAACCTCGGTCCACGTCCTCCTGGTCTGCCCCGCGGGACAACGGTTATCGCATGAGGGCATCTCTGGGATGAGTGCATGCGGATGTACGAGTGCGCTGTGTACGCACATGTATATGCACAGACAGTACACACATGCGCGGCTCATGAGAAGATGTTTATTTCATACATGGACGTACAAACATGCAAGGCCAGAAGACTTTATCACTACACATGCACCGAAGGGGGGGGGGTCCCTGAAGGGTGTGGTGGGTCTCACTGTGACCTTGAACAAACCCCAGCCTACTTCAGTTCCTCCCTGCACGTGACCAGTTGTGGCAGGTGTTCCTTAAGGTAGGCCCTTTCTGTCTTGACCTCCTGCACTCGCCTGCTGTGGACACAGGGGACCCAAGAGGAAGACTTGGGTCATAGGCAAGACTACTGTCCCGGGCTTAACCAGCTTCCTCCTGTCTTCCACTGTGGGCACCACTCAGGGCTGCTGCTCTCAGGCCTCCAGGCCCCTGAACTAGGAGGCTCCATGGCCCAAAATGCCACCACCAGGCAGCCTTTTCTCTAAAGGAACTGGAGGAAAGGGTCCCTAACAGACTCAGTCATGCTTCCTCTCCCAGAGAGACAGCTGGCTGATCTGGGGTTCCCGTTGGCAACCCCTCCCCCAGCACCTGGCGGGCAGAAGCGGCCCCCACCACTCAGCTCTGGGCTCTGCGGCCCAGCCTGCTCCCGGCTCACCGGCCGAACGGGGCCCGCTGCACAAGTGTGATCACGCGTGTAGTGCCTAGAGCCGGGGCGCACTCACCGGCCACAGTTGCAGTGGCAGACGCGGTCCTCGCCCCGCAGGTGCGGGAGGATGTAGTTATGGAATCGGTCCAGCAGCGCGTTCATGTCCATCAAGCACGCGATGGCCTGGAAGAGCCCATGACCGGTCAGGGCGAGGAGTGGGCCGGGCCGAAGAGGGTGCCGAGTGGGAGCGTCGGGCTGCCGGGGTTGGTTGGGTGGGTGGGCGGGTGGGGAAGCGCAGGGCAGCCGGGGCGAGGGCCGCGCAGGGTAGCAGCGAGGGTAGCGCAGGGCAAGCCGCGGAGGGCAGCGCAGGCCGCGCGGGCCGGTAAACAAGGAAGCGAGGTGGGGAAGGCGCGCGCGCGGGCGGCAGAAGCAGGGGGCGCGCGCGGGAAGCCCCTCCGCTCACCATCACGATCGACGCCCCCAGAATCATGAAGATCATGGTGTTCGCACTCATGGACATCGGGCGGGGCCGGGCCGGGCCGGAGCGCCGCCCCCCGGCCCCGGTGCCCCTCCCGGCCCCGGCCCGATGCTGAGCCCGCGCCGCCTCCGCAGAGGTCAGCACTCGCGCGCCGGGCCGCCGCGGGCCCCGGGGGCAGGCGCGGTCACAGGCAGCGGAGGTGTGGGGGCTGCTGTAGGGTCGCTCGCTCGCCGCCCGTCGCTGGCCGCGCTCCTCTCCGCCCTCCGGTGCTCCCTGTGCCCGGCTCCCTGCGGTCGGCTCGGCGGCCCCCTCCCTCCTCCCCCTTCCCTCCTCCAGGCTTCTCCCTCCCTCCTTTTCTTCCTCACTATCTCCTCCCTCCTCCTTCTGCCTCCGCCTTTGGGGAGGGACTTCGCCGCCCCGCGCCAGCATCCAGGGTCGAGGTTCTCCACTCCAATCCTTGCGACGCAGGCCCAGACCCCTCCCCTCCGGTCTCGGCTCCACATTCTGCCCCATCTCATCCGATCTCCTTGCCCAGTGCCACGCTGAACTCTTTTTGGCCTGGACCGGGTGGTCGTTTCTGCTCTACTTCTCCAAGTAAGGCCCCTCCTCTTGGGTCCCCTGGTTCCACTGAGGGGTAGGAAGGTCGGCACCCAGCCTCCTCCAGCAAGAAAATGCCATCGGGGGAGGGGCCTGCAAGGTCAGAGTAACCAGGGACTGTGACTACTGGACCAGAGGTAGGAGGGCAAGAGATATGGAGTAGGCCAGAGCATCCCAGAGCATCGTGGCAGTGGTGGGAAAGGCTAGCAGGCTTCTGGGAAGGAAGGGGTGCTGGACAGTAGCCCGAAACTACCAGCTTAGTGTCTAGCGTACTGTTTGTTGTGGCTGCCTTGCTTGTCCTGACAGAGCTGACAGTGTAAGAACCAACCCTGCCCTGTGTGATGGAAGCAAGAGAGGACAGCTGACCTCCATCCCTAAGTACAAACCCCACTGTGCACTGTGTCCAAAGGTTCCAACTGGAGGGGCCCGGTATCCTGGTGTCTTACAGCCCGGGGCCTGTGTAATCTTTCTCTCAAAGGATGGTCTCAGGTATGTCACAGGGCTGTACTTAAGGGCCCTGGGTACCTCTTCTGCAGGGATTCAGGCCAGGAATTCAGGCCAAATCAAAGACCCCCAGGAGCATATATTTTGCGGTGATTCCAAGTCCCCGTCTCATTCCCCTCATCCCCCGCTCCCCGCCATCCCCACCCCCACCCTCCCAGCCAATAAGGCAGTCTACTGTTTTATTTCGGGTTTTTTGTACAATCCAGCAGTGGAGAGCAAAGGAGTAGGAAGGCCAACACAGACACTTGCTGTAGGCTATACAGTAAACCGTCTTTACTTCTTTTGGTTAAAAACAATGGATTTCAATCTGGCATTTCTGTGTGCTTCTCATTCCCTATGTACAGTACACTGGCGACATACACCTAGCAGTATAAACAAGTATCGGAAGAGAAAACACACTGAAAAAGTGGCTCCAAAGGCGGCTGTGCAAGTCAGGTTGTGCACGGTCCATGAGTGTCTCAGTAGAAGCAGACAGTGTGCAGAAAGGCCCGGCCACTCTTCTCCTCAAACTCCTGCAGCAGCTCATCGATCTCGTTCTCCATATCCTCAGTGTGCTGGATCTGGGGAAAGCAAAGCCTTGAGTGACACTCGGGAAGTGTGACCCGCCTTCCTCCCCTGCCCTGTGCTGCACCTCCCTCCTGCAGTGGGGACAGTCTCAGGACAGTGTCCTCAGGATCATCCCAATGGCCCCTTCCTGGCAGTCCCTGCTTTGATAATGGGCTCCAGACCTGCACAGTGGCCACTGTAGTACCCCATATTGGGAATGCTAGATTCAAAGGAAGGACTGGACCCCGAGGCTGGGATTCAAGCTCTGCCCTCAGGCATCACAGGTTTATGGAAGCCTCACCAGCCAGCGCCACCCCAACCCTGTGATGAGTGAAGCGAGGGGCATGAAGAGGCAGGCATCTTCCTAGAACTGTCCTCGTGGTGGAGCAGCCTGTGCCCTGCAGCAGGCTAGCACACATCTGGCCTCTACCCCCAGACACCAACAGCTTCTCCTGGTTGTGAAAACCTACAAGGTGGCCAGGCATTGCCAGCAGGCCTTTAACACTTTGAGGCAGGCTGGCTGCTGACCACACTGCCCTGCATGGCTACAAAGTCTCTCAGGCTTTATCAGCCAAACCACGAGCTCAAGTGCTGGAACTTCAGCTGAAAGTGGAAGCTGGGCTGAATTCAACAGGAATGTGGATTCCCACACCAACTTCCCCATCAGCCTCTACTTGGGAAGCCAAGAGGACGTCAACTCTGCCACAGCCAGCTAAACTAAACAAATTCTCAAGGGTGAAAGGCAGGGCAAGGCACATGGCTCCCTCCACAGCATCTGAACAGGGTGACCCTCCACACAGCAGGTGCACAGCCCAGAGGTCTTCAGAGGATAAATATCTAGACAAATATCAGGCAAAAGTACACAAAATATCCCTATACTGTGAGTGTTCCTCTGGGAGTCCCCAGACCCATCTCTGACAATACCAGGTGAGCTCTGCACCAGAGGAAAAGGTGAACTGTCAGTCATTTCTTCCCGAAGAGAGGCCTCTGACCCAGAGATGTCATTCATCACTTCTACCAACAACAGACACACTGGGATGGGCTCTCAAGCCAACGTCACTGTTAACCTCCTGGAATGTGCACTTCTTGGTCTTTATTTGAAATTTAGTATTAACCAGGATGTGAAAATAAGTTGCTAGTGATGAGAGGTCCCCTCCTCTTGCCCCAACAGCTACTTCCTTGGTAAGGATGCCTGGACCCAGGGCTTAGACTCACACACTGGCAGAGCTCGCAGATGAGGAAGGCCCCTAGGGTGGCCTCTTCATGGTTGTCCTGGATGTCCACGTTGACCACATGCACTGGCTGGCAGGTCTCCTGTTCTCTGGAATTCAGATCTGATTAGAAAGACACACAATATTACTAGGCATTGGGTAACAGATGTGTCCATGTTCAGCTCTCGCTGTGCCTGCCCCTGAACTCTGGACTGTAACTCAAGGATTGAGCATCCAAGCTCCAGAAACTAAGGACAGACCCACAATGCAGGCTCCATGAAGAAGCCTAGGAAAACAGCATACTCCACTCCAGGCCATTCTATGCTGCCCACGCTGGCACCAACAGCAGTTTCTATAAAATGGCAGGCCCAATAAATATGCAACGCTGTGCTGAAGGCCACAAGGCTTACAAAAACTTACAGGAATCCTACAAAAACATACAGGAATCCGTCCTCTGCTTATTCCTCACAGGCTGTCCTCCAGATGTCCATGTGGGTCAGAGGATGAGGGCGGGTGTCCTGTACATCACTGTCGCCCAGGGCCTGAGGCCTAACCTGCCTTCCCTGGAGACCATAAGTCTTCCAGCCGAGTGTTGGCACTCACCTTCTACAACCTGGTCATAGACTCTCTCTTCACAAGTGAGGATCAGGTCAAACAGGTCCTTGCAGTTCTGGAACCTTTCTGGCCGGGGCTTGATCCTTTTGTTTCTGTCCAGCATATGCAAAATCCCATTCTGTGTATAGCTGAACACCAGAGTCAAGGAGCTTTGGTAAATGATTGTTCACTAACCTTGATCTGCCTGTAAATAAATGGTCCTCCTGCCTCTTAGAGTTCCAAGTTGACTCTTGTCAATATCACAGCTCTAGGCCTTAGCATAGGCTGGGTAACCACTGCCCCAGGACAGGAAGGTACTGACTTCTTGGGGATGTCATGATTTCTATGAGACCCAAATCTACTGAACGGCTCCAGGTAGCCGTGGTCATTCTGATTGGGCAGAAAGCAGAGGCATTTCTGGCCTCCTCTCATGACAGTGGCCTTTTCCTCTATCATACTGACCACAGCTCTGATCTATGCATTTGTTCCCTCTCAAAACACAAAGACAACGCTGCCAGGAAACCAAACCAATCCAGCTAAGCTACAGCAAGGAGAAAGTCTGGGAAAATCCGCAGAATTCCCCCACCTCCCAGAGACCAGGTTTCTCTGTGCAGTCCTGGAACTCGCTCTGTAGACCAGGCTGGCCTCGAACTCAGAGATCCACCTGCCTCTGCCACCACACCCAGATTCCACCAAATTTCTCAAAACTCAGCAGCAGAAATGTCCGGAAGCACCCCACTGGTGATGGTCCAAGAGGGACAAGTCTGGTTCAGCTGAAAGCAGGGAAACTGCCAGTTGAATCCAAAGGGCAATCCAGATGGCACCTCCATGTTCAGGCCCATCAGCCGGGGCAGAAGCCAGGAGTCACTGCCTTTGGGGCCTTCAAGGTTGTGCCACCCTATCCCTCAGATAGTTCCTGGAGTGAGCTGCTCTGGACACTTAGAAACATGCATCTGTTTTAGGAAACAGAAAGGCTCTCCTATCCTGGGGCCTGGGGCCTGACCTCGGGTTACCAGGCTGAAGCACAGGTGCCCTCACTCCGAGTCATCTTCCTAACAGTGTAACTTGAAGACACCTGGCCACGAGCTGCCAGGCAGCCCCACTCCTCGCATCATCAGCTGCTCCTCCCTTCCTGCTTCCCTGCTGCCTACAACAAGAGCTGCATCCAAGCTTACAGCCCATCAAGGTCCTGGGGTTGGGGGAGCGAGTTTAAGACCAAACCCAGTGGCTGGTACTTCTGGGATAGAGACAGGGAGCAGGGGAGTAGACCTCTTGGGAAGGAATCCAATCAGGATCCAGGTACTTAAATTTAGCAGACCCCAAGGAAAAGCTGGACAAAGTCACACAGAGACAGCTAAGGATAGTGGGAAACACCACTTTGCATCCCCACTATCAGAGTCAGGCCCCCAAAATGCTCCAACAACTGCAGTCACAGGATGGCCCTGCCTGGGAATGACTTTTAAGTGACCACCCTCAAGTGAAGAGCACTCTGTGTAATTGGAGGTTGGGAAACAATCATGCCAGCACCTCACCTGAACTTGACAATTTGGGGGGCGGGGCAGGATTTGAGAAAGAGTTTCTCTGTGTAGTCCTGGCTGTCCAGGAACTTGCTCCGTAGATCAGGCTGGCCTCGAACTCAAGAGATCTGCCTGCCTGCTTCCTGAGTGCTGGGATTAAAGGCAGGTGATACCACCTCCCAGCAAATTGGACACTTCTCACAAACCCCAACAACCATCCAAAAACTAGCTTAGAGGCCAGGCTAGGATACATAGGTGGACGTAGTAGATAGGGCCAACCTTCTCAGGATCCCCCATCCTTGTTACTGTTTTTGACGACCTCATTGAACAGCCAGTTAGCTGGAAAACTTCAAGAGTCCCAAGCTTAAGAAAGTCTTGGGCTGACTCTCACTTGGCCAAGCCCTGGGCTAACCCAGCAAAGCTTCTGAGGAGTTGGGGGCACAGTGTGAAGCTGATTGTGCTCTTTGGTTCTAATAAGCAGTCACTGGAGTTTAGATTCCTGGAAGCTGAGGGTGTGCCGTGGCCAGGACTTAATCCACGTGCAACGAGCCAACAGTGACAGTGGCTGACTTTCTCTTGAATGAAGAGCCACTCCCACCCGACCCTGGAAGCCCAGACCTGTCCCCGCTGGCTTTCTGAGGAGCAGCCCCCAGAGAGCGAAGGTGGGGAACAGGGCCCATACAGGGTTCACACTGAGGGCCCCAGGACCTGGGATATTGAAGTACAATTCAGTATCATTTAAAAACTTCTGGGGGAGGGGGAGGAAAATGGGAGGAGGTGGTGGGGAAGAGACAGAAATCTTTAATAAATGAATAAATAAATAAAGAAAGAAAAAAGTTTAAAAAAAGAAGTGCTTTTAGCACCAATTGCCAAATTTGTATTTGTTTGGGAAGTTATACAGTAAAACCCTCCTTTTGTTAAAAAAAAAAAAAAAAAACTTCTGGATTTACCAAACAATTCAAACTCGTCTCCTTGCAGGGCACACAGTTTCTAAGTACTAAGTGATAGGACAGGATGGACAGAGGAGAACAGGAGCACTGGAGCTGGGATTCCTGGTGGATGGCTCTAATTCTAGCACTCAGGAGGCAAAGGGAAGAGGATCAGGTCAACTTGAGCTACATAAGGCTGAGGGAAGCCTAGGTTATACGAGACCTTGTCTCATAAGAGAAAGAGGCTAAGAAGGCTTAGCAGTCAAGAGAGCTTCCTACCCTTCCAGGATCACATTCAGCTCTAACACCAGCTTCAGGGAGCTAATACACCACCCCCCCCCCCCCCCCCCCCCCCCCCNCCACCCCCCCCCCCCCGCCAAACCTTAGACAGGGTTTCTCTGTATAGCCCTGGCTGTCCTGGAACTCGCTCTGTACACCAGACTGGCCTCAAACTCAGAGATCTGCCTACCCCTAAGATTGGGATTAAAGATGTGCACCACCACTACATAGCCTAATGGCCTCTTCTGGTCTTTCTAGGTACCCACATGAATGAATGAATGAATGAATGAATGAATGAGAGAAAGGAAGGAAGGAAGGAAGGAAGGAAGGAAGGAAGGAAGGAAGGAAGGGGAAAGAAGGAAGGAAGGCAGGCAGGCAGGAAGTTAGGAAGGAATCTTAACTACAATTTAAAATGGTGGATTATGAACTGCCATTTAGTTCACACCTGCTGCCTGAGGAGGGCTGGCCCCTTGGGGACCTGCTTCCAGGATCCTGCAGCATATTCCTGAGTATGGATATCCTGGGAATAGATACAGTCCTCCACTTGTAAATTAAGATTACACAGGTATAGTACTTGTCATGTCTTCACTAGTTAAGCAATCATCCAAAGAGAAGCTATTTCCACAACCAACTTCATGGACACCGAGTATGGACTCTTACCTTTCCTATCAAGTGGGAGCAGAACCAGGCATCTTTAGCTACTCCCGAAGGGATGCTTTTGGCCTCCCCAGAGCACAGGGCTTTTGACAGAACATCCTATGAAGAAAGGCCAGACCCACAGGCAGGTCAAGTTCAACACAGGACAAGGTCTGTGCTCTTTTCTGTACCCAGCCACCCTGGAGAAAGGGAAAGTGTGCAGGAACTGAACAAGAGCCAGTCCAGGGCACACAGCTCTGCCACCCTGCTTCATTAATTCTATGAGATGCCTGCATCTGTGGCTAAGAGGTACACAGACCTTCAGCACCCCACAGCAATGGGGCCTCTCACTACCTCTCAAGAACCTACCTTCAGTCGGGCCCATGCTACTACTACATGGATAAATCTTCAACAGACCCCTCAAACACAGGTTTCACCCATCCTGCTGCTCAGAAGCTAACCAAAGGGCCAGCACAATCAGTCCTCCTGTCTCCAGAAACATAACCAACCATGTTCAAGACAAGCCTGACTCAGAACTTACGGCAACGTTCCCTAAGACAGGGACTGGGTGGAAACAAAGAACTCTGAGGGGCTCTCAACCTTGCTGCCTTCACCACTGTCCTAACCTAACACCCACAGGTCAGACACAGCCTCCACTCAGGCAGAGGGGCAGCTGCAGGACTCCCGGCCTGAGAGAAGCCGCAGAAAGCAGGTATTGGAAATGCCAGGGCTGTATACTGAGTTCCTTTCCTAAAACCAAACAGCCGCCATCAAGGCTAACATACTTCAGGTGAATTAATGAAATCAGTTTGACCAACAGCTACACAGCTCGAACAGATCAGCCTCCTCTCAAGAGTGCTTACTGAACACTAACAAATCTTTAAGAGTTTAATATCAAGCCGGACAGTGGTGGCGCCCACCCTTAATCCCAGCACTAGGGAGGCAGAGACAGGCAGATCTCTGTGAGTTCGAGGTCAGCCTGGTCTACAAGAGCTAGTTCCAGGACAGCCAGGGCTGTTACAGAGAAATCCTGTCTAGAAAAACAAAAACAAGTTTAGTATCAACGTACGTAAGAGCCCATGACTTTAAGTGTATACCATTTATCTACCACCATCCTTTAAAATTACAACTTTTCTGCGTATCTATGTGTGCATATGTGCATGCAGGCTGGAACACCACCTCGGCTGCTGTTGCCTGTTTGCTTCTTTACAGGATCTCGGCTACCACCGGCCAGAAACCAGGCTAGGCTGGCTAGCCAGTAAGTCCTAAGGATCCACCAGCCTAAGTATTACAAGCATACCTCAGTCAGCTTTTATTATGTGGATCCCAGGGCTTGAACTCAAGTCCTCAAACATTAGACTGGTGGCTATCACTGCAGCTCCCCAAGTTCTGAGACAGCATCTTACTGTGTAGCCCACAATGACCTCCAATGTCACATCTCGCCTCAACCTCCCAAGTGCACCATCATACTCAACCACAAACACAAATGTAAAGTCTGTGGCTGCAGGTCTGTGCCAAGTGACCTCTTTCATGTACCTGTCTTCCCAGGCTGGGCCAGAGACTCTGACTACTTGTTCATCTCAAAATTATTTTACTTCCTTTTTGCTGTTTTTTAAGACAGGGTCTCTCTGAGAGCTCCAGGTGTCTTGGAGCTCACTCTGTATAACAGGCTGGACTTGAGCTCAGAGAACCTCCCGCCAATGTTTCCCAAGTGCTGGGGTTAAAGGCTTGTGCCACCACCACAACCTGAAATTACTTTATTTGTAACCTCCAGTTAAATTTAGTTTAAAATAAGGTACAAAGCACAATTTTTGTTTTGTTTTGTTCTGTTTCTGAGACAGGCGCTCTCTGCAGTAGATCAGGCTGGCCTCTGGCCTTTTGTGTGCTAGTATTAAAGGCAAGTGCTGCTAATACCACTACCCACCCTGCTTAACACGGTATGTACCTGCCTGCACGTACTGGAGCATGGGTCACAGTATACATGCACATGTAAAGATCAGAGGACAACTTGTGTGAGCTAGTTCTTTCCTTCCAGGATGGATCTGGGGCATAGCACAGTTGTCGGGCATGGCAGCAACTATCTTGTTAAGTTATCTGGCTGGCCCCATGACTAAGTTTTAATAAATCTTCTAGCCCAGTGGTTCTCAATCTTCTTAATGCTACAACTCTTTAATACAGGTTCCTCATGTTGTGGTGACCCCAATCACGAAATTATTTCATTAGTTATGCTTCTTCATAACTAATTTTGCTGGAGAGATGGCTCAGAGGTTAAGAACACTGGCTGCTCTTTCAGGGGTCCTGAGTCCAATTCCCAGCACCCACATGATAGCTACAACCATCTGTAATGAGATCCGGTCCTCTCTTCTGGTATACAGGCATACATGCAGGCAGAACACTGTATCCATAATAAATAAATCTTTAAAATAAATTAACTATAATTATATAACTGTTATGAATTGTCATGTAAATAACTGATATGCAGGATATCTGATACGTAACCCACAAAGGGGTGATGACTCACAGGTGACAACCACTGTTCTAGGGCTTAAGTGTCTACATCATTGAATTTCCTAGGCTTCATCAAACTCAAAACTCATGAACAATAATCATCAGAAAAAGATTGGGAACTTGCTGCCATGAGACAGCGCTCACTATTGTGTCCTGACATAAGGGAAATGGAGACTTTGGCACAGTTGCAGGCTTGTTAAATGAATGCTCAGATCCCCGACAATGACAGCGGCTTTCTCTAGACCCCAGATTCGTGTGTTCAGTGCAGGTCTGATAGCAAGTTCAATGTCCCGCATGCAGCATCCTGTAAACAATGCTGCTCAGGGACTAATGGCTGGAGGAAATTCGAATAGCACCACTGTGCAACAAAAGGGGGTTACTTGGTTAGAAAAGGAAAAAACTTCAGTAAATATTCATTCCAAGCAGTCAGTCAGGTTTAGAAAATGTCAGGTATCCTAGGTCATGGTCTGGGAGGTGAATGTCCCGCAGGCAAAGATGGCAGAACAAAGGCCAAACCAGAGCCGCTGTCAACAGCTTTCACAAAATTGCAAGTGATGGCAAAACCAGTAGATCAAATGGAAAGCAGGGTTGCTTGGATACATTCTGTAGGCTCCTGCATCAAAGTCTACCTCCTGGAATGAACCCTAAGATAATTAACACCTGACGCAGGACAGCGAATGGAGAGGTGGCACCGAGTCTAGAGGCCTGAGGTGGCCAGGGTGCTGCCT